GCCTAAGTTTTATCACCTGCAAAATAAGAACAAATAATAGTTAATTTGCAGATTTTCTATAAAGATTCAAAATTACTTACTTAAAACATCTGGCACATAATAAATTTCCATTGACAAATAGCTGTTATTATCAGAACAAGGAAAAACTACAAACGCAAGTTACCAGTTTTTTCATCTTTATAATAAATGACAGCACTCAGCAGCAAAACAGCCCTTTAGATTGATAATAGAAGAGTCCACCCAGATGTTGGTAACTATTTACTAGATCAGAGATTTGACCAGTAATAAAATATACATAAGCATTAACCTCCCTTCTGTCCCCTACTATTTACCTCCTCTTACGTTATTTACCAAAGATCATACAACTTGTTATATCAGAGCCTGAATAAGTATTGCCTTTTCACATTGTCTTTTTTTCTAAGTTGTAATTTTATTTAAATCCTGTCTTTCTCAAACATCTTTATTTTATTTTTATTAATATATAATTTACATATAAGTTTACATATAAAATTTACCATTTTGACGTATACAATTTAGTGTTTTTTTAATATATTCAGAAGGTTGTTCAACCATCCCCACTATCTACTTCCAGAACATTTTCATTACCCCCAAAAAGAATCCTCATACTCATCAACAGGTACTCCCCATTCTCCCCTCTCCCATCCCCTGGCAATCACTAATCTACTTTCCTTCTGTATGAATTTGCCTGTTCTGGACAGTACCATACTATATGTGGCCTTTTGTGTCTGACTTCTTTCACTTAGCAGAATATTTTAAGGTTCATCCATGTTGTAGCATATATCAGTACTTCATTCTTTTTATGGTTGAATGCATTCCATTATATGGATATATACCACATTTTGTTTATCCACTTATCAATTGATGGACATTTGGGTTGTTTCTCCTTATTAGCTATTAGGAGTAATGCTGCTATGAACATTCTTCTGCAACCTTTTGTATAAACGTGTGTTCTTTTTTCTCTTGGATATATATCTAGGAGTAGAATTGCTGGGTCATATTGTAACTGTATGTTTAGCATTTTGAGGAACAGCCAGACTACTTTCCAAAATGACTCACCATTTACATTCATGCCAGCAATGCAAAGAGTTCCAATTTCTCCAATCCTCACTTGTTATTATCTGGGTTTTTCCCTTCCTTCCTTTATTTTTAATTGTAGCAGTCCTAGAGGGCATGAAGTGGTACCTCATTGTGGTTTTGATTTTCAGTTCACTAAGGATTAACAATGTCTAACATCTTTTTGTGTTTTTATTGGAGATATATATGTGTATATATATATATATAGTTGAATAAATACTGATATATATAAATATAATATATATCTTTGAATAAGTAAATATTCAAATCCTTTGCCCATTTTTAATTAGGTTGTCTTTTTATTGTTGAGTTACAAGACCTTTTACATATCCTTATCAGATATATGACTTACAAATATTTTCTCCCATTCTGTGGATTATTTCTTCACTTTCTCGACAGGGTCCTTTGATGGATAAAAAGTTTTCAGTTTCAATGAAGTCTGACTAATCTGTTTTTTTCTTTGGTTGCTTGTACTTTTGATGTCATATCCACATTATCTTTTCTTCCTTGAAGAATAAAACAAACATTAAACCAGGAGTAAAGAGACATGACTTCTATTCCCAGATATGCAATTACATAAATGTGTGACCTTAAGCCATTATTTAAACTCATTTGAAACTGAGTTTCCACATGTTTGAAAAGAAGCTGGGTTCATCAGAGCAGATAGTTTGTACTTTTTCATGAATAAATTATCTCTGTGAAACACCCTAAGTTAGTATTTCTCCACCTGCCTCACATTTGGCAATCTCTGGAGACATTTTTGGTTGTCACAACCAGGAAGGGGTGCTACTGGCATCTAGTGAGTAGAGGTCAGAGGTGCTGCTAAACATCTAACAACGCACGGGATGGCTCCCACAGCAAAGAATAACACCAGCCAAAAACGATACTAGTACTGAGGTTGAGAAACACTACAATTAAGGTTCTGTTATTCCAGTTTATTTTAAGCGGTAGTCTTTGATTTTGTCTGTAGGAGCCAGATCGTTTTGTGCTCTTAGCCTTATACTAGAGCTACTGGCCTGATGGGGGCTAAAAGAAGGGGGCGGTATCAATAATTCTTGCAAGTCAGGAGATTTTTTTGGTAATGTTTTCGGAACTTTTAAAAAGTATTGTGTCTTTTATTATGAAGAAAACAATTTTCAATATAGATATCTCTAGGAAAAAACTTGTAGATGTATTCTTGTTATTGAGTCTTCAGGTCACGATCCCGGGGTCCTGGGATTGAGTCCTGTGTTGGGCTCCTTGCTCAGCGGGGAGCCTGCTTCTCCCTCTCCCTGCTGCTCCCCCTGCTTGTGCTCTCTCTTTCTCTCTGACAAATAAATAAATTATTTTTTAAAAATTTAAAAAAAAAGATAGGATAAGAACTATATGATCCTTTCAATAGATGCAGAAAAAGCATTTAACAAAGTACAACATCCAGTCATGATAAAAACCGTCAACAAATAGGTTTAGTAGGAACAGACCTCAACATCATAAAGGCTATATATGGAAAAGCCACAGCTAATATTATCCTCAGTGGGGAAAAACTGAGAGCTTTTCCTCTATGGTCAGGAATAAGACAGGGATGTCCACTTTAACCACTGTTATTGAACATAGTAGTGGAAGTCCTAGCTTCAGCAGTCAGACAACAAAAAAGAAAGAAAAGGCATCCAAATTGGCAAGGAAGAAGTCAGACTTTTGCTATTTGCAGATAACATGATACTGTATATAGAAAACCTGAAAGACTCCACCAAAAATTGCTAGAACCATAAACTAATTCAGTAACATTACAGGATACAAAAATCAATGTACAGAAATATGTTGCATTTCTATACACCAATAATGAACCAGCAGGAAGAGAAACTAAGGAATCAATCCCATTTACAGTTGCACCCAAAGCAATAATATACCTAGGCATAAATCTAACCAAAAAGGTGAAAGATCTGTAGTCTGAAAACTATGAGACACTGATGAAAGAAGTTGAAGAGGACACAAAGAAATGGAAAAATATTCCACGCTCATGGATTGGAAGAACAAATATTGTTAAAATGTCTATACTACCCAAAGCAATCTACACATTTAATGTTATCCCTATCAAAATGCCACCAGCATTTTTTATAGAGCTAGAACAAACAATCCTAAAATTTGTATAGAACCACAAAACACCCTGAATAGCCAAAGCAACCTTCAAGAAGAAAAGCAAACCTAGAGGCATTACAATTCTGGACTTCAAGTTATATTACAAAGCGGTAATCTTCAAAATATAATGGTACTGGCACAAAAACAGACACATAGATCAATGGAACAGAATAGAAAACCCAGAAATGAACCCACAACTCTATGATCAACTAATCTTTGACAAAGCAGGAAAGAATATCCAATGGGAAAAGGACAGTCTCTTCAACAAATGGTGTTGGGAAAACTGGACAGCAACATGCAGAAGAATGAAACTGGACCACTTTCTTACACCATACACAAAAATAAATTCAGAATGGTTGAAAGACCTAAATGTGAGACAGGAAACCATCAAAACCCTAGAGGAGAACACAGGCAGTAACCTCTTTGACATCAGCTGTAGCAACTTCTTTCTAGATACGTCTCCTGAGGCAAGGGAAATGAAAGCAAAAATAAACTATTTGGACTTCATCAAAATAAAAAGCTTCTGCACAGTGAAGAAAACAGTCAACAAAACTAAAAGGCAACCTATGGAATGGGAGAAGATATTTGTAAATGACTTATCTGATAAAGGGTTAGTATCCAAAATGTAAAAAGACCTTATAAAACTCAGCACCCCAAAACTGAATAATCCAATTAAAAATGGGCAGAAGACATGAATAGACATTTTTCCAAAGAAGACATACAGATGGCTAACAGACACATGAAAAGATGCCCAACATCACTAATCATCAGGGAAATACAAATCAAAACTATAATGAGATATCACCTCACACCTGTCAGAATGGCTAAAATCAACAGTACAGGAAACAGCAGATATTGGCGAGGATGTGGAGAAAGTGAAACCCTCTTGCACTGATGGTGGGAATGCAAATTGCTACAGCCACTGTGGAAGACAATATGGAAGTTCCTCAGAAAGTTAAAAATAGAACTAATTACCCTATGATGCAGCAATTGCACTACTAGGTATTTACCCAAAGAATAAAAAGATACTAATTCAAAGGGATACATACAAACCTATGTTTATGGCAGCATTATCTACAATAGCTAAATTATGGAAACAACCCAATGTCCATTGATTGATGAATGGATAAAGAAGAGGTGATATATATATATATATATACACACACATATACACACACACCATGGAATATTAGCCATCAAAAAGAATGAAATCTTGCCATTTGCAATGACATGGGTAGAACTAGAGAATATTATGTAAAGTGAAATAAGTCAGTCAGAGAAAGACAAATACCATATGATTTCACTCATATGTGGAATTTAAGAAATGAAACAAATGAAGAAAGGGGGATAAAAGGAGTGAGGCAAACCAGGATATAGACTCTTAACTATGGAGAACAATCTGAGGGTTGCTGGAAGGAAGGTGGGGGGGGGTTAAATAGGTGATGGGGATTAAGGAGTGCACTTGCTGAGATGAGCATGGGGTGTTGTATGCAAGTGTTGAATCATTATATTGTATGCCTGAAAATAATATACAGTGTATGTTAACTAATTGGACTTTAAATAAAAACTTAAAAATATAAAGTCTGAGTTATTTCCAATTACTTTTCAAGAAGGTCTGTCTTAGACTTGTTTCTCTCAAAAGTATATACATGGACCTTGAAGCTGCTATAATATTTCCCAATTCTCAGCACCCACGTGCATGTGTATGTATATACAATTTTAAAATGGTACAGCTTCTAGAACATATAAGTAATGGAAGGATTTGTGTTTAACTTTGTTTATATATACAGGAAGCAGTGAAAGAAAACAACAAGAGAAAAGAAATGGAAGAGAAGACTAGAAGGGCAAAGCTTGCAAAAGAGAAAGCTGAACAAGAGAAGTTAGAACGCCAAAAGAAAAAGAAACAACTCATTGATATAAACAAAGGTATAAAGTACTTTCAATTTCTTAAAGATATATAAAGTACAAAATAATTTAACTTAATTGATTTTGGATTATAGTGTAAATAATTGTGTTCTTGGTAGAAAATTCACAATATTATTAGTTATTTGTGTCATATTCTCTCATAATATTATCTCTATTTCTTATCACCCTACACTGAGCGCTCAGGATTTTTGAGAACCAATGCAAGCTAATATATTGTTGAAACAGTCTCTTTCCCTTCATTTATTTTATCAAATTATATCATACTATATTCTGGATGATGCAGTGGTGAGGAAAGAAGAGGGTGAGATGAAAAGAGAAAAACTGGTAAGGGGAGATGAGCCCTCTGGCTCTAATTTCATTTTGTTAACACATGTCTGTTGACAATGCAGTAATAACAGTTTTCCTTGGGGCCTTGAACATTTCAAGTCATAATAGATATTGACAGCACTATTATAAGATGAAAAAAAATAGAGACATCTTATTCAACTGTGAGCCTAAGAACAAAGATGCTCTATGTCCACATAGTATAAAGTAAGTTGTTTTCTTGGTTAACAAGAGTGATTGTATATTAAAGGTGAGGGTTTTGGTTTTATTTTGTTTTCTTTTTAAAGAAGAGAAGGGTAAATAAAGTGATTGGCACCAGGTAGCTGCATTCTGAAAATTTAAGAAAAATTAAGAAAAAGCATAGCCTTTGCCACTGAGGGGTAGAGAATTTAAAAATGAAACAAAATCTGTAGCTACAAGAAATACAAGTTACAAGAGAACATGATTAATATGGGTCACCTATTTCTTAATATAATGACAGTAAAAATTGTAAGCACTGTGTAATGTTGACCATGTGCCAAGCACTGTTCTAAGACTTTGACATGTTTTAAGTCAATTAATCCTCCTAACATAAGAAGTAGATACTGTTATTACCTCATACAGGTGAGGAAACTGAGGTTCATAGAAATTAAAGAACTTGCCGAAGATCACACAAATACAAAGTACAACATCAAGATTAGAATCAAAGTAGTCTGGCTAGAGAATCTTTGCACTTATAAATGCTGTTGTCAAATAATAATAACTAACAGCAGTTACTAATGTGTAGCACTTACTGTGTACCAGGAACTGTTGTAGGAGTTTGACATATATAAACACATTTAATCTTCATAAAACCCTATTAGGAAAGGGCTACTATCTCATTTTAAGATGAGGAAACTGAGGCATGGAGAAGTTAAGTAACTTACTCAAGTTCATAAAGACAGTAAGAGGTAGAATCTAGGCAGTCTGTGGCCTGATTTAATTATTAATTATTTTGATTATAACTTTTAATTATAATTATTAACCATTATCAATTATTCTGTAGTAATGTGTCATAATGGCTAACTTTATGAAATGATATCTAATACCATTAAGTTTATTCTTTATACCTTTAAAATATATAAAAATTTTTAGGAATCCATTATAGTTTATCTTTTCTACCCAGGAAATAAATATAACATCATTCTAAAAGAAGAAAATAAGTTAACAACCAAGACTAAAAAGAGTAGCATCAACATAATTTAGCAAACAGACTTCATAATTAGGATCAAAAGAATTGGTCCTGACTGAAGATACTCAATTACGAAAAGCACTGGAGTATGCATGGCAATGGGTATTTGTAGGAAGTTCTTACTTAAAAGGTGATGGAATCAGTAGAACAGTACTAGATTACTCCCTTTTGTGCATGGACCATTAGTGAGATAAGAGTATGGGAGAAGTAGGGGACATATTGTGCATTCTCCTGGCTGTGCTAAGGGCTTTACCCTGAAAGCTATGGGAAGCCCATGAGTATTTATAAATGGGAAAGTGATGTGCTCACATAGATTTCTTAGAAAGATCATTTTGACAGAAGCATAGAGAATGGATCGTAAAGTGAAGAGCCTGTGACAACAGAAGTTATAAAGTTATTATCATAGTCCTGACAAGAGATGATGGTGGCTTGAATTAATGCAGTGGTAGTGAGGTTAGAGAAGTTACCAATAAGAGGTATATATGAGTTCTATAGGATGTGGATATATAGAAACAGATTTATTTAAAGGAATTGACTTGTGATTATGGAAGCCGGCAAATCCAAAACCTGCAGAGTAGGGTGTCAGGATGGACCCAGGGAAGAGCCAGTCTGAAGATAGTTGGCTTGCAGAATTTCTTCTCACTCAGGGGATGTCAGCCTTTTTATCTATTCATGCCTTCAACTGATTAGATGAGGCCCACCCACATCATGGAGAGCAATCTGCTTTACTCATAATCCAGATTTGTTTTTTTAATTCTAGTTTTTATTTCTCTTTTTTTAGTTTTATTTTATTATGTTATATTAATCACTGATTTAAATGTTAATCTCATCCAAAAAACACCCTCACAGAAACATCCAGAATAATGTTTGAATAATTATCTAGGCACTGTGGCCCAGCCAAGTTGACACATAAAATCAACCATTACCAGAGGGGTATTAAATGGTAGAACTGACTGACCCTGATGATTGAATAGATGTGGGAATTGAGGAAAGGAGGCATTAAAGAAGGTGATACCCTTCATAAAGAAAAAAAATTCAGGAATAGAGCAGATTCCATCAGGAAGGTTACAATGATTAGTGTCATTTTGAACATGTTTCATTTTCAGACCTTTTGGAAAGATGGGAAATGTCTAAGTAGCCATTGTATATTATTTGCATATGAAACTCAGGAACGAGGTTTGGACTAGACAGACAGACTTGAAAATCATTGGTTTTTGATGATTAAAGTTAGGGTATATTAGTTTGCTAGGGCTTCTGTAACAAAGTACCACAAACTAGGTAGCTTAGAATAATAGAAATTTATTGTTTCATAGTTCTAGAGAAGAGGAGTCTGAAATCAAGGTGTAGGAAGGGCCATGCTCTTTCTGAAGATGCTAGGGAAGGATTTGTTCCATCCTCTCTCCTACCTTCTGGTAGTTCCTTGGTTTATAGCAGCATAACTTCAATCTTCATGTGCCATTATCCCTGTGTGCATGTCTGTCTCTTCACATGGTATTCTTTTTATTAGCACACCAGTCATATTGGATTAGGGGTCCAACCCACTCCAGTATGACCTCACTCTAATTAGACAATTCAACCTATAACATATGAGTTTGAATGAGATCACCAGGGTAAAGTATAAATCAGAGGTTCTGAAAGTATTTGGTCTCAGAACCCATTTACACTTTTAAAAATTACTGTGGACCCCACATCCCTTTTGCTTATTTGGGTAATATATATTGATATTTATCATGCTGGAATTAAAACAGACATAATAAATAAAATTATATAAGATAAATCATTTGAAAACTTTTTATTTACTAGTTCTATTAAAATAACAAAGTAAACCTATTACATGCTAAAAACATCTTTTTATGAAAAGTAGCTTTACATTCTAACCTCCTGCCCCCCAAAAAATATTAGTAAGAAGAGAAAGCTATAGTGTTGTTAATTTCTTCAAAGTCTGGCTTGATAAAAGCTTGATTCTCATACTGTTTTTACATTCAATCTAATACCGTATCATTTGTCATGTGGCTTCTGGAAAACACTGTAAACTCATGAAAGAATGAGAGAGAAAAAGGCAAAAAAGTATCACTATTCTTATGAAGATAGTTTTTACCTTGCATATCTGAAGTGACCTCAGAGATTCCCACAAGTCCCAAGACCACACTTTGAAAATCTCTGGAGTAAATAATGAAAAGAGCAAGCAATTAAGAGTCTATTGAGTTTTATGGCAAGAACATAATCTTGCCTCCATATTGCATTGCACCCTTCCCTCTCCCCAAGTATTTATTCAATCTTTCACTGTTTCCCTAAAAATATACCTGTAATAGAAAGAAAAAAGAAAGAAAGAACCTATTTTGATTATGTCTCTAGTATATATTTTCATTTTCCAAGATTTGATCAATTACCCCTTCAAATATTATTAAAGCGATAGTATGAAGATCCAAATAAGCTTTTATGCAAATGCTTAGCTGAGTGATCTGAATATGAAAGACACACTTTAACATAGGATTTATCTTTTGTGTATTGTTAACGGTATCTCTACTTAGAGATCAAAGAGTAAACTTTACCATTAGGTTCTTGATTTGTGGCCCATATGTTGCAAATACCTTGTTACTATTATTATTATTATTGTAATATTATTTTACACTTAAAAGTATATGTGTGTTAGTACTTATAAATATGTTTCAAAAAGAGATTCTTCCATTGGAATCATGTAGCCTTAAGAAGATGAGAAGAAAGAAGAATGGAGTCGGGTAGTTAGGGGTCAAGATGGAACTCAGTGAGTTTCTCAGACAGTATCTTATAAAAAATGCTATTGTTAACTAGGTGGAAATCAATTGCAGACACTTTGAAGGCCTTGGGGGAAGTGTGGTCAGGCTACATAAAATATGAATTGACAGGTGACATGAGAATGAGGTGCAGTCAGAAAGTGATTTAGAGAACTTTAAATGTGTCTAATTAGAATACTATCACCCACTTTCCAGTAAGAGAATTGTATTCTTCCTTTCCCCTGAGAGATGGTGTCGAACATTTGATTGCCATTTTAAGATATGTATTATATAGAGCATAGAGGTATTTCGTGCACATGTGATTAGAGATACATACCATTAGAACCAGAGGGTCCTACCTATAACAATAGTAGTGAAGTAAAGTCCCTTGGGTAAAGAAAGTCACTTGAAAATTACCAACAACTTTAAAAACACATACTCTTTCTGTAGTTTCTATTTCATACCAACTTAGCAAAATTGCAAGCCTCTCCCTTTTAGAAAATATCCTGTGATCCCATATAGCTAATAAGTAATAACAGTAAGTTATATTTATCTGACATGCAAAATTATATATATTCATCAAAAAGAAATATTTTAGAATTTAATTCAGAAGAATAAGAGGATAAAGCAAACACAACAGATTATTTATGTTATCTAGATGTGATCAGCTGAACTCAGAATTAAGAGGACATATCATGGAAACCAAGCAGCCA